GAAATGCTAACTTTACCATTAAATTTGTGGAAGATGGCCCGGGTTAGACTGCATTAATCGTTGTTCTTCAGTGGTGGTTTTAGACCTTGAGCATGTTGGCCTGGGCAGAGCACACAAGAAGTTCAGCTGCGCCATCCAGATGTGTCATCCAGAGCAGTACAGCCCTTAAATATCCGTGTTTTTTCCTCCCCTGTTAACTTTGGCTACTTCTCTGTGAATATTGTGCTGTCACTTTGGCCCCTACTTTTTGCCTGCACCATCTGGGTGTACATATGTTCGAGACCCCTTGGGAAAAGGTGGAAAATGGATCTTCTGCAGCCCGTCTTGGAGGTTAAAGAGAAAACGTTTGCTTGCTGCGTGCTGCCCTTGCCCCTGGGACGAGCGGTAGCGCAGACAAACTGGAAGCTAACGTTAAACGGGCACGTGGAGTAACTTACTGTACTGAGCTTCATGTACAGATAAATATTCAGCAAACTGTCTTCTATTTTTCAGATTTTCAGGATGAATCTGGAAAAACTCAGCAAACCAGAACTACTGACGCTGTTTAGCATTCTTGAGGGAGAATTAGAAGCAAGGGATCTTGTCATAGAAGCCTTAAAGGTATGTTGTCACTTTTGTTTCTGTCATGGTGCTTAGAACGGTACTGCTGCAGGTTCTGCAGAATGCTTGCATCCGAGATAAGGTTCAGACGCAAAGATTTATTAGTGTCAGAATTCCATCTTAATATCAGCAGTGTCACATAATGAATGCTCTGTATCACTTTACATGCTGGAATTCGTTATTGAAAGCTGCTTTCAAGGAAGAATGTTTCAGTGTTTAGACGCAGCCTTCTGTGTTCGTATTGTTAACCCCTTGCATCCCTGGTTGCCACAGTTTGTCCCTTCATCCTTTCTGATAAAGGACTGAGCATTTATGTTCCTCTGAGCAATGAAAAGCCTCTGTCAGGCTCAGTTTGGTTGTGCTCTTTAGTAAGGAGGCTTTTTTAAAGCAGAATGTCTCCTCAGCAGGAGGGATCAGATTAGTCGTTTGCTGAGAATAACGTTACACTAAAAAAAGCATCCGTGGCTTTCGATCATACTAAGCCAATATAATCTGGCACGCTTGCTGAGGGAAGCAGACCTGTGACCTGCTACTTATTTTTTTCCTTTTCTGCTGGCACAAGCATTAATGTAACCTTGCGATGAACTAGACTTGGAACTGATACCAGCACAAATGAGCGCAGCCAAGAGGTGGCCTCGGGCGGCCGCGTCCCCGGCACAGGGGCCCCCGCGCGGGTCTGTCCGTGGGGACGGGCCGGGAGCACTCCGGGCCGTGCCGGGTGGCACCGGGAGCGCTCCTGGTCCGTGCCGGGTGACACCGGGAGCGCTCCGGGCCGTGCCGGGTGACACGTGGCCCCCGCGGCGCTCCCGC